TGTCACCTGACCTATTTTGGCCTATCAGTGCAAGGGGGGAAGGAGTGGACCATACCATCCAAAAAGTACAGGCAGGGATACTGATTTTTTTAAAAAATTCTTTTCCATTTTGAAACATAGAAGCACTATACATTGCTGGAAATAGTCACCATGGCATATGTCAACCAAGCTATAATCCTTCCAGAGGCAAGGAACAATACCAAGGGCAGGGTGTGGAAGTCACTGTCAAGATAGGTGAACAACCTTTGGCCCTCCAGATGTTTTGATCTGCAACTCCTCTAAACCTCAGCCCTCAATGGCCAATGGTCAGGGATTATGGGAGTTAAGAGTCCAGAGCATCTGGAAGTCACCAGGTTGCCTACCTTTGCTGTAGAGCAGGGGTAGGCAACCTTTCCCCTTTAAGGGCCGAGGGACTTCAGCTCCCAGAAGCCTCAGCCATGTTGGCCAATAGTCCCATGTTGGCCAGTAGCTCCTGGGATTCTGGGAGCTGAAATCCCTCGGCCCTTAAAGGGGAAAGGTTGCCTACCCCTGCTGTAGAGCTTTGGAGTATTCTGGCCTGCAATACCAGCCTCCTCACAGCAGGGAGCAGAAGAACACAGGACCAGAGTGGCCTACTTCGAGTCCCAGCGGTGAGGTTCCTCCTTCTGCAATACCCTTTTTGACCAGGGGTGGCAGTAGCAAAGTTGTCCACATGCTCCATGGCCGCCATATTTGTAGGGTTGACTTGAGTTGGTGACTTCTTTCCAAATACTAAATCTGTATTGGGGATGGGAAATGTATGGTCCTCCAAATGTTGTTGCACTGCAACCACCCCAGCATTCTTTTTCACTGGCTATGCCAGCTAAGACTGATGGGAGCTGCAATCCAGCAGTATCTGCTCATTCCTACTCTAAACGGATTTCCCTGCAACCATGTAATTCACCCAGGAGCATCCCACGCGCCCCAAATGCCAGCCTAGCTCCCCCTTTCCTAACAGCCAAGGGCCTTCAGATAGATTTAAGGTGGCTGCCTTGTATATATGAATAGATCCGCCCGCTCAGATCCGGCACTTCAGATGAATTGGCGACAAGCAGACCTCTTTCTCTCCTTCTCTCTCTCTCGTCTAAAACCTGCCTGTTATTGCGGAGGTGGGGAGGATGCTGTTATGATTGAGAATTCCCTTCTAGGAGATTCATGCTTCTTCCCTTCTTTCCTCCCCAGCTCCAACAGCTACAAAGAGCAAAACAGAAAAGCCAACTGCGCAACATCACTGTGTTTGTTTGTTTGTTTGTTTGTTTGTGTTATGGATTTCCAGAATGGGACCCCACAAGAACTAAAATTATTAAAATTTCCCAATTTCACAACCTAAATGTTAACCAAATGGGCATCCCATTCTGAAACAAGCAACGAAAATAGAAAAGTAAATGTAAAGTGGTATTGTATGTTGGTGGCTAAAATTATATATTGGTGACTAAATCTGGAAACATGCTACACTTAATTTTGATAATAATAATAATAATAAAGTTTATTTGTATCCCGCCCATTGGTAATCCAATCCGGGCGGCTTACAGTTAAAACATACAGTTCACAATAAAACATACAATATGAACAAACCCCCTCCCCCCATTAAAACAGGATTAAATTAGAACAATATAAAATTTTGAATTTTATTGTATTCTATGTATTTTATATTGCTGTAACCTGCCCGGATTCCTTGTGATTGGGCGGGCTATAAATAAATAATTTATGATGATGATGATGATGATTATTATTATTATTATTATTATTAAAACAAGGCACATGGATTAAAAATTGGTAATTAAAATGCTTTCAAATAAATGATAACATCATTCCCCGGGATGGAGCTGGCCATCTTGTCTCCCCATATCTATGGCACCTTCAGCGCTTTTCTTCCCACTGCAAGAAAGTCACACAGTTTCCCCAAAATTATTTGCAATTTGGAGCCGATTCTGTACAAAATTCACATTGTTTTGCACAGAAAACAGCATTTTCTGCAGAGGAAACTGCATTGTCTGCACCGTGAATTATATTCCTATGTAGAAATATTATTTACTGCACAGAAAAAGCTGTTTCCTGTAGAAAACCACCACGCGCGAATTTTGCACAGAATAAGTCCAGAAGTGCACAATTTTCATCACTACAGGAGTCTTCTAGTAGCTGTTTCTCAACATTAAAAAAGTGTTGCTGTTGTTTTTTTTAAAAAAGACCCATTTTTTAAAAATATTTTCAAATATTCTTCCCCTCCCTAATACAGACCAAAACATTTGGGAAGGTGCTGCACATCCCTGGATTGCATTATCTCTGTTGTTTCTTCTCTGGACTCCCAAAGGCTGAATAGAGATGCTGAGTTGATCTGTGAGAATATGCTTTAAGTGGGGACTTGCTTGAGGTAGAGACTTCTTTTAATCAATATTTGTAATTTTGGCCTGTTCCTTGATAAAGCTGTCTTTCCTTTCACCTTCTGGTGTATTCACAGCCTCCATTTCCTAAAGGGAAGACTCTCAATAGACGTGGGAAGGAATGCCCCCCCCATCAAAGAGCTATTTCTACGGTGCAGCCTTCTCTTAAGAGACTATGAAAAGGCAAGTGGACTAAGCCCATTTCTTTAGGGTTTTGACCAAGAGGAAACCAATTCCACCTTCCTTTCCAAGAAATAAAGAGGATTCAGCTCCCCCTGGCGGGTCAACATACAGTTGTTGAAGGAAATTTTCTAAAAATAATACAGCCGTCCCTTCCGATTCGCAGGGGATCTGTTCTGGACACACATGCAAATCGGGAAAATTGGTAATATTGGGGTCCCATTTGTTTTAATGGCTGTGTGCGGCGTGGCGTGGCGTGGCGTGGCGTGGCATGCATGCCATTTTATCCCTCACCGCTTGCCATCCACGAATGGTTGAGACCGCGGACTCCAAGTCTGCAATCGGGGAATAATGAGTTTATTTCGTTTTGGTGGGGCAGGAGGAGAAATTTCGGTGGCCAGCCAGAACTTGGGATTACTAAAAAGTTACATACATACGCGCACGTGTGTGTGTGTGTGTATATATATATATATACATGAAATCACATATTACATATTACATACATAGGGCAGGGAACTGTTTAATTAACAATTTGTAAGCACCTTGGGCAGACCAGTTGAGCAGCGACTCTGCTCCGGATCCGAGTCTGAACTTGAAAGGGTATCTTTAAGGCTCCTTAAGAGGCCACTTTTCACCAATCCCAAAAGCAATGCAACTAGCAACACTAAATGTTATTTTTTAAACAATGCAAGGACTTTATCACATGGGCAAAAAAAGACGGGATAACAGCGCTATGCTCCCGTTAGTATTGCGCAATAACGGGATGATTTCCACACAACGTCATGCGACGTCACTGTTATCACACCATTATCCCAGGAATAAAGCGGCAAAATCATGCCTCTTTGTATTAATGGGAAAACCCTGTGAATAAAAGTGGCACAATTTTACCACTTTATTCACAGGATAATGGCACAATAATGGTGGCGTCATGTGAAAATCATCCCGTTATTGCACAATATTGACAGGAGTATAGCGCTGTTTTCCCGTCTCTTTTGCCCATGTGCTAAAGTCCCAAGATAATTCTGCCAGGTGTTCATGTGAGGAATGAATACATAAGCAAGACACAAAGAGTTACTATACTACCCAGCAGGGTGGCCATCCCATCATCCCCAATTGTCTCTCCAGACCGGAACAGAGAGAATGAGCAGAGAAAGGAGTTTGGGAAACCAAGGCCCCCAAATGCCCGGCGTCTTGTGCCCACGTTAACGTTGCCTTTATCCCTTTTATATTCAGCTTTTTCTTAGCAGCTCCCCTGCTGCTGCTCTCAGAGCAATTTACCGGATAAAAGGGTAAAAGTACAATAAAGTCAAAAATTAAACAAATCACAGTGACCGGATTAAGACAGACTCTACTACTTGGCCAGCAAATAACAAGCCGGGTCATAAAGACAGGTTAAGAGAGCCAGGAAGTCCATTTGCAAAGCCCTCGGCGATCTCCCAGCGCTGGCAAAGGTCAGGCCAGGAAAGCGAGGAGCCGCCGATGCCCGCTGTTTAATTAATTGCGCAAAGGCCCCGGGGGTTACGAGCAACTCTCAAATGGAGAGTTCGGGAAGAGGAGTCTCTGGGTCAGGGATGGAGGAGAGGCTTCCAAATGCCTAAACCGGCGTGGGTTAGGGGATTCTGGGAGCTGCGGTGCCAAAAGTGACTTCTCCAAAGTCCGGGCCACTGGGAGATGCTGAGTGGGCTCAGCAGAGCCACTAGTGGCCAGGAGGTGGTATTGCGGCTTCCACAATGGGCTCCCATGCTTTTTGATGCCCCCCAAATTCCTGCTGTGTCTGTCAACCTATGGCAATCCCATGCATTTTTCATAGGATTTTCTTAGACAATAAATCCTCGGAGGTGCTTTTGCCAGGTCCTTCCTCTGAAATAGAGCCTCCAGAACCTGGGATTCATTGGCAGTCCTTCTGAACTTGGGGAAGGTTCTACTTTTTGGACTGTCACTCCCAGAATCCCCCAGCCAGCTATGCTGGCTGGGGGATTCTGGGAGTAGCAGTCCAAAAAGGCACCTTCTCTCATGCTCTGGAAGCCCTGGCCTGAAGCATTTGGAGTAAAGGGACCAAGATCTTCTTGTGTATGCATGGGCCTTCAAGTTGCCTTTTCATTGATGGCAACTCCATGAATGTCGTAATTTCAGAGATGGTTTTTCCAGTTCCTTCCTCTGAAATACAGCCTCCAGCACCTGGCTTTGTTGGCGGTCTCCCATGCAAGGACTAACCAAGGGCAGACCCTGCTTAGCTTCCAAAATCAGATGGGATCTGGTGCCTCAACATGCATGTGTGTGTGTTATGTGCCTTCGAGTCATTTCCAACTCACGGCGACCCTAAGGCAAATCTACCATGGGGTTTTCTTGGCATGGTTTATTCAGAGGTGGTTTGCCATTGCCTTCCTCTGAGGCTGAGAGAGTGTGATGCCCAAGGCCTCACGTATGAGCAGGAATTGAACCTTGGTCTCTAGAGTCGTAGTCCAGCCCTCAAACCCTTACGCCACACTGGCCTTAACATACTGAATCTTAAATAAATTCAGGACCCTGGACAGTTCCTCTATATTCTTGCTTAAAGCCTTGAGCAGAATTACTGGTCCACATATATGGCAGCTGCTGCACCCCACACCTGCCATTATTATATCACACTAATTACAAATACTTTGTGGTTGTGTGCTTTCGAATCATTTCCGACTTACGGCATAATAATAATAATAATAATAATAATAATAATAATAATAATAATAATATTAATTTGTACCCTGCCCCTCAGAGAACAATCGAGGCAACCCTAAGGAGACCCTAATATAGGGATTTCTCTGCGAGTTTCTTCAGAAGGTGTTTGCAAAAGAGCTTTAGGAATAAAAACTGCTCAGAAGGAGAGGTTTTATTCTACCTTTTCGAAGAATAAGTGCTCCTGGAAAACCAATGTGGATTCAAGCCTATTATTATTCCTAACCAGAGCCCTGTTTTCTTTTTTTTTAAATCTCAGAGACGTTTATGACTTACAAAAAAGTAAAACAGAGATAGCAAAGAAACAACCAACAACCAGACATTACAAAATAGCCAAGGCGCAATATACCATCATAAAAACTTCACGCAGCAAAGAAGGAAGAGGAAGAAGAAATTATTGTATTTATTGATTGATAAAGCCTGTTCTGCCATTATCCGCTAGATGGCACAGTTGAAGAGGAACTGGAACATTTCTAGAGGACCAATAATCCATAATTTTCCATCCATGAGCAACTTTCTCCCAGATGTTCCACTTCCTCCATAACCATCCTTTTTCTCTACAAAAGAGGGAAGCGGAAGGATGGATGATTCCCCCTCTTGATGTTGTCGGACTGCAACTGCCATCAGCCCTGTGCAAAATGCTCGTGACAAGGAATGATGGGCATTGCAGTCTAGCAATGGCTGCATGATTCCCACCATTACGTATGTATACATTGTTTATGTATTCATTCCTGACTGATGTAGGCCTGATTCCAATTGCTAGTCCCAACTAGAGTAGACCCATGGGATCAATAGGATTTACATAAGCCTTGGTTTTCTACTCTAATCTACCTTAGATGGACTAGCAACTTCATTTTGACCTGCATGAGAACCTTCTTTAAATATCTGAAGGGAGATCTTGGTCCTCCAGGTGTTTTGGACTCCAATTCCCAGAAGCCCCAGCCAGCTTGGCCCACTGTCAAGAATTCTGGGAGCTGAAGTCCAAAACACTTGGAGGACCAATGTTTGGGGACCACTGCAGGATTTGTTCAGAAGGGGTTTGCCTTTGCCTTCCTTTAGGGCCCAGAGAAATTGACTTGCACCATGGGTTTCCATGGCTAAGCGGGGATTTGAACCCTGGTCTCCAGACCCAATCCAACTCCCAAACCACTAAACCACGCTAGCTCAGCCAGCCATCCGTATCACCCCAAAAAGAGTGGACAAGACCCCCGTGTCCAGTCTTGGGAGCCTCTCAGCCACATCAGATGGGCTGGGCCAAGCGATCTGGGATGGTATTAGTCAGTTGTATTAATTACATTTTAGTTTAAATTAGAAAAGGAGGCCAATGCGTTGTGTGCATTGTTACATGCTGAACTAGAGGACTGTTCTCTACATGCCTGTTTCTTTCTGAAAGAGCAAATGCTGTAAAATGCCCAAGCATCTCCCCGATCGATCGATGGATCGCCATCAGAGTCAGCTGCCTCCAGTGGCATTTGGGACTTTAATGAACTGTGTAATTGCTTTATGGCTGTTTTTATGCTTTTATTACTTCTTTTTACTGTTATTTTATGGACCTTAATATGCAATCTTGTAAACCCCTTTGGAATGAAAAGTAGTAAACAAATGTCTAAATCATGAGTGCAAATCACTCAGCCCTCCAGTTGACGGACTGCAGCTCCCATTAGCCAATGCACAGCCAATGGTGAAGAATTCTGGGATCTGCAGTCCAGTAACATCTAAAGGGTTGAATGATTCCCCCCACCTAGTTTAAATAACATTGTTGTTGTTGTTATTGCATGCCCTCAAGTCAACTTTTACACATGGGAACCCACTCCTAGGGCTTTGAATCTCTCTCTACTCAGCTATGAAACCCACTGGGTGACCTTGGGTAAGTCACACTCTCTCAGCCTCAGAGGAAGGTGACTGCAAACCTCCTCTGAACAAATCTTGTCAAGAAAACCCCATTATAAGGTTGCCTCTTAGGGTCACCAAAGTCAGAAATGAAGGCAGGCAGTAACAATAAAAACAACTTGTGCATAATATTGTTTTCTTTATACTAACTTTTACTGACTAATAATTTAAAACCTAAAAGAAAAAAGGATCAACAGTATTCCAATTTCCTTCTGTAAGATAAAGACCTCGTCGCTTTAAGAAAAGTCATTCTCTGTACCCATTTAACCGACTGCATGCCAGGAATATGACTGTATGCCAAAAATAATGACCACAGAGGACTTACACACATTCAAACTAGACAATGAGGAAATAGGAAAACTAAAAGAGTTCTCATACCTGAGATTAAACATGGATAGAAATGGGGACTGCAGCCAGGAAATGAGAAGAAGGCTAAGAATGGGGAGATGGCTATGAAAGAACTAGAAAAGATCCTAAAATGCAAAGATAGACAACTCAGCACAAAAGTTAGACTCATACAAGCCATTGTATTCCCTATTATTCCCATGGATGGATGTCAGAGCTGGACAGTCAAGGAGGAAAACCAATGCCTTTGAGAGAATGTGGGGCTGGAGAAGATGCTGAGGATCCTATGGAGAGCCAAAAGGACAAAGAAATGGGTCCTAGAGCAGATCAAGATGGAAACCTCCCTGGAAGAAGAAGCCAAGATGACCAAACTGAGGCTGTCATATTTTGGACACATCATGAGAAGGCATAAATCATTGGAAAAGACCATAATGTTAGGAAAGGTGTAGGGAGGAAGAAAGAGAGGAAGGCCCCATGCCAGATGGATGGACTTTATTAAAGAGACCACAGATATGAGTTTGCAGGGGCTGGCCAGAACAAGAGATGACCAGAGGCCTTGGAGAGGTCTCATCCAGAGGGTCACTGCCATGGGTCAAGACCAACGCAAAGGCAGTTAACAACAACAGCAACAAATGCCAGGAATAAATGTCTGCATCTTCCATAAAATCATTTCAGCAATGGGTCATGGCAAAGACATGTTGTGACTATCTTGTGCCGCTTGGCCTCCCTGACCTCCCATGTCAGAAACGGTTGGTTGCAAAAGTTGCAGAAGACTTCAAAGACCTTTCTTTTTCCTCCTCCTCCTCGGCATGTCCAGTTCTCAGGCCCCTTGGACCGCATTCCAAAGGCAGGTTTGGACAGCTCTGTTTGGCTCATGAGATCGGGGACCAGTTATGTCCCACGGCGGTTGGAGCCACTGGGTGGGCTTTACATTGCTTTGCTTTGCTTTTTGCTTTGCTTTGCTTTACGGCTGCTTTGCTTTATGAGTGTGTTTTAGAGGTTGATATTCTAATTCATTGCAAGCTCCTCTGGAGCTTGTGTTAAAAGGCAGTTCATAAATCTTGCAAGGCCGTAGATCCCTAAAAATGCCAAGCAGCACATCTTTGTGGTGCTTTTATTAATTTATTCCTGTTTTGCTTAATAAACCTGCTTTTTCCATAGTGTATTTTAAAGACAGGGCAGAATTAAATCCAGTGTGAGCTCCAATTAGATTAAGAGTCATTGAATAAATCCTATTCCTTTTGATGGGTCGGTCTCTTTAAATTGCGATTAACATTAGGCTTTGTTGTTGTTGTTGTTGTCCTTGTAGTTGTGTGCCTTCAAGTTGTTTCTGGTGACTCTGAGGTGAAACTATCACAGGGTTTTCTTGGCAGGTTTTCTTTAGAGGGAGCTTGCCATGGCCTTCCTCTGAGGCTGAGAGAATCATAGAATCATAGACTTGGAAGAGACCATGAGAGACATCTAGTCCAACCCCATTCTGCCATGCAGGAACTCACAATCAAGAAGATTGCCAGGGTCTTCCAATGACTTTCCATGGGGCAACAGGATTCGAGACCTGGCCTCCTCCCAGGGTCCCAGTTGAACACTCAAACCACTACACTACACTTGCTCTCAACATTAGATATAGCTCATTAAAAATATATATATATATACTGTATCTAAGAACAATTAATCAAATCCACCATTGGGAGCTTAAGGCAGATATATGGAGGGCTGAGCAATGCCCTCCTCCCTGCAATTTCAAACTTGTCATGCTTCTCTATCTCCTAAAACTGTCCCAGGCTTCAGAAACTGTCAGGACTGCCCATGCAAAACTGGGAGAGTTGGAAGGTTTGTTACAGGAAAGTGGAGGAAGCAATCTCTCCTGGCCTCAAATTATGAATCTTGAAATTGTTGGAAGATTTTTGGATTCTCTTTCCCCCTCCTTAAGATAGATAAGGATTTCCTGCATGCAACCCCCCCCCCTCTCTCTTTCTCTCTCAAACTAACTATGTGATTTAGGTCACTTCCCCTTTGGGACTAACAGACACTCTCTAAAAGATTTTCTCCTGCCCTGTTGGGTCCTCCATCTTCTTTCTCCATCAAACTTTCTTTGGAAAAATAGTGAGATAAATATTTCTTCTTAACCTGAACTATTCACTAGCTAGATTAGGATATATAGCCTCTATGTGTGTGTGGTGTGTGTGTGTGTGTGTGTATGTATATATATTAGATAGATAGATAGATAGATAGATAGATAGATAGATAGATAGATAGATAGATATAGATTAAAGGCTTTGACGTTTTTGATATTTTGATATTTTTGTTTCCTTAACAAAGGCTGAAGCCTTAGAAAACTTGAAATTACCCTGCAGAAAGGCGAAAGAGAGAGGACAGCGGTGCCAAAATGGCCCAGAGGGTGCTAGAGATGGATCAACAGGGAGAAGGAAGAAAAGAAAGAGAAAGAAAGAAAGAAAGAAAGAAAGAAAGAAAGAAAGAAAGGGTCAAAAAGCAAGGCAATCCCTCAGGGCAGGGCTAAACCTGTAGGGCACCTGCTCCACCCGGA